CAGCTCCTCCCCCTGCTCCAGGAGCTCCTCCCACCCCCTCTCAGCTCCTCCCCCTGCTCCAGGAGCTCCTCCCACCCCCTCTCAGCCCCTCCCCCTGCTCCAGGAGCTCCTCCCCCTGCTCCAGGAGCCCCTCCCACTTGCTGTCAGTACCTCCCCCTGCTCCAGCGCCGTGACGAAGGCAGAGCTCTCTGTGGTGCAGGACCGCACCGTCTCCGTCCGGCCCTCCTTGAACAGGCGGGTCATGGAGGCCTCGTAGGTCAGGCAGAACTTGCCCTTGTCCTGAGGAGAGAGTGAGAGAGTGACTGGACTAGACCGGGCTGGACTAGGGAGTCGGATCACTAACTCTATCCTTCATGCTTTTCACACGTACTCACAAGAAGACTTGTGCACACAACGGGACACACTGGGAGGCAGTGGGAGGCACAAGGACACACTGGGAGACAGTGGGAGGCACAGGGACACACTGGGAGGCAGTGGGAGGCACAGGGACACACTGGGAGGCAATGGGAGGCACAGGGACACACTGGGAGGCACAGGGGGACACAGGGGGACACAAGGGGACACACCCACTCACCCTGTAGTGAGCCAGCTGCAGGGCCAGCTGGATGAAGGCGTCGGGGCTGATTCGACACTTCTTGATCCGGCCCTTTCCGAACGTCCGGAACGGGAGAACATGGAAATCCACGTCTTCCGCCAGAGCCTGGGCCAGGGCCAGGGACTGGCCGATCACCTCCCGACACTGCGGAGACGGGCGGCAGGCTCAGGCGGGCGCTGGGACGCCCCAGCGGGACAGGCCAGCGGCGGGACGGGTACGTACCTCGGCCGGGATGTCCCAGGACAGCCGCTGGGGCGCGGGTAGCGTCGGGTCCACCTCCCCCTTGCAGAAGCCTTCCTCGCTGTAGCCCAGCTGGAAGCAGTCCGTGGCCAAGACGTACTGGACAGGGAGAGGGAAGAGACAAGCCCAGCTCACTCTCGCTCACTCCTGCCTCAGTCTCACTCTCACTCACCCCTCCTCGCTCACTCCTGCTTCTCTCACCCCTCCTCGCTCACTCCTGCCTCAGTCTCACCCCTCCTCGCTCACTCCTGCCTGTCTCACTCTCTCACCCCTCCTCGCTCACTCCTGCTTGTCTCACTCTCTCGCCCCTCCTCGCCCACTCCTGCCTGTCTCACTCTCTCACCCCTCCTCGCTCACTCCTGCTTGTCTCACTCTCTCGCCCCTCCTCGCTCACTCCTGCCTTAGTCTCACTCTCTCACTCCTCCTCGCTCACTCCTGCCTGTCTCACTCTCTCACTCCTCCTCGCTCACTCCTGCCTCACTCTCCCCCCTCCTCGCTCACTCCTGCCTGTCTCACTCTCTCGCCCCTCCTCACTCACTCCTGCCTGTCTCACTCTCTCACTCCTCCTCGCTCACTCCTGCCTCACTCTCCCCCCTCCTCGCTCACTCCTGCCTGTCTCACTCTCTCACCCCTCCTCGCTCACTCCTGCCTCACTCTCACCCCTCCTCGCTCACTCCTGCCTCACTCTCACCCCTCCTCGCTCACTCTTGCCCCAGTCTCACTCTCACCCCTCCTCGCTCACTCCTGCCTCAGTCTC